AGAACGCCCTATCCACCGACAACCGAGCATTATGGTATGGGGTGCGATTACATATGGTGGACGTACACGTCTGCTGCGTGTATAGCAGACCATGACGGGTCAACGATACGTAGATGAGGTGCTACGGTCCGTTGTGCTTCCCTACGTTCGGCGGCGTCCAGGTCTCCTATACATGCACGACAACATCCGAACGCACATCGGGCGTATTGTACAGACCTTTGTGGAAGAGCATCGTATACGAATGCTTCCTAGATTAGCTCGTTTTCCGGATCTGAGTCCAATCGAACATGTTTGGGAAATGACTGGTCGGAGACTTCAACGTTATCCGGCTTCCCCAGCTAACGTTTTGGTGCTATGGAGGCGAGTTGAGGTGGCATAGTTGGCCATCCCTCTTGCTACAATACAGCGACTTATAGACTCCATGCCACGTCGTGTAGTGATGGTACGCGAAGCTCACGGGGGATACTCTCGCTATTGATGTTTCATCTCCCAGCAGAGTTGTGCCGCTCTCCATGTGAGAGTAAGTTACACTACTTTAGTACTACTTCCATACCAAATTTTATTCCGCTAGACACACGCGTTCAGATTATACAGGGTGTGCTCGTGAATTATTTCCAACAGTGTAAAATCAGCTGAGGTTGGTTTTTTTTAAGCCTCATTCCCTTTAATTAGTTTATTAGCTTATTCTTTATTTAATTTTGACATTTTTCTTGTAGGAAAGTATCGTAGAAAAATTAGCTAAATTGACCACAGAATACCCTGCACTTTGGATTGTGTATATTTTAGGGTTGAGCATTCCCGTTATACTTATCTTGTATGTTTGTTGTAAACCTAGTTCGCCTGCTAGTCAAGAGGTAAGCTGCTAAAAATATATCCTTTTAACTTGTATATAAACAAAAAAAATTTTAGTCAAATGCAGAACCGGTTTCAACTAAGAAAAAGACTGACGATTTAACCCCCGATGATATTCCACCGGCGGAACCAATAAATAACGAAGAGGACGAAGATAAAGAGAAGTATTCAGACCAAGAAGGTGAAGAGGAAGAGGAAAAAGACCAAGTTGAAGGTGAAGTTGAACCGGAAGTTGCACCTGAAATAGTGGAAGAGGTAAAAAATAATTTTCGTAAATTAATTTTTATTCTTCTAATTGCTTTGTGTTTAGATACCTCCTAATGTGCCGGAAACGAGGAAACGAAAACCGCGAAAGGAGTAAAATTAAATTGGGTGTAAAACATTTGCACGTTTTTTATTTTTAATATCCGTTCCGTAAATTTTTATAATTTATTAATTTATAAAGTTATTACGATTTGGAGAGTAGATAGATTTGATTAGTAAAAAGGAAGTGTTTAAACTTTGCGTTTAAACTAAATAAAAAGAATTAAAATAAATAAATTTTTTTTCAGAGTGAATACTTTCTTTTATTTATCTATAAATATTTTAGTGATTAAATGATACAAATTAATTAAAACTCGGTGGAACTAAACCAATTTTTAATCCTCGACTCAAAAGATTCCCTGGTTGCATCATCGTGCGATGAATTTCTTGATCTTCGTGGAAATTTGTGCTTGATTTTTAAGATTTCGTATTTATTTTTAATTTCTGTTTGGACTTCCTTGTTTAATAAGCAATAAAGTAATGAAACGAAGAAACCCTAATGAAAATTGAGATTAATTACATTAGTAACATTAAATGTTTTAATTTGCTTACTTGAAACGCTGTGAAAACTTGGTCGTAAAATAACCAGATGTACAACAAAGTTTCGTTCTCACAAAAATAAACTACGATGAATATAACGTAAGGAACACCAAAAAGTAATAGTAATGTTAAAGTTGATCGAATTAAGCGACTAAAAAGAAATAAATTAAAAATACTTTATGAAATTATTGCTAATAACGCCGACCCTAAAAGCCTATGAATTTAGTGCAAGTGTAAAACTAGAACTAACACTATACCTAGATGTAGAATCATTCTGGTTTAGCCGTCTTTAGAGACGTGCGGCTAAACCCAAATGATTTTAATTAGTTTTAAAGGTGAAAATTATAATAAATACAGTTTCTGTACTTTATTACTGGTTTATTAACCCTACAGTGAATACGTTGGGCCGTTGTGTGTTTTGCTGTAACATTTTAATCATGTATTCTCTGTAGGATTAAGTATAAAATTTAGCTTAACATGTTTCGACTGTGAGTCATTCTATTTTAATAATGATGACTTAATAAATACGAATAATAAACCAGTAATAAAGTACAGAAACTATATTATAAGTACGAAGGTTTTTACGGCCGGAGTTAATTAAACTAAAATTAGAACTAACACTAGAAATTTTCGGGGTTACCAGTTTCTGAAGAAGGTTGCAACATGACATCCAAAACGTCAAACCTTTTCTTAAAAGACGCACGGCAAAACCCGAAAGTTTCTAGTGTTAGTTCTAATTTTAGTTTAAGAAACTATCTTTATTATAATTTTCATTTTTAAAACTAATTATAATATACTAGTAAATGGATTACACAATCAACATTGATCATACAAATGATTTTAGTTCTAGGTCTAATGTTAGTTTTAGTGATAGTGTAAAACTAGAACTAACACTATACCTAGAACTAGAATCATTCATCTATGGTTACTGCATTTATATATTGCGAGGTATATGAAATTCCCGGTATGATTTTACCTGTATTTATTTTTTCTTTGCTGTAAATTCATTGAGTTTACTTTTGTACATAAAACTTTAACAATCATGATGAATAAAATGAAATTTATCTGAAAAACAAAGTTATATATATTTTTATTTTCATTTAAATAATAATACGAACTATAACTGCAATCTCCAAAGGTTTTTGAACCAACATCGAGATGGTTGAGTTAGTTGACATGGTCCAACACATCAAATTATCCAATTGAGCCCTTAAAATCACCCAAGGGATTAAAAATATAAACGGCACACCTAAAAGAATGAAATTAGTTTAAAAATTCGATGTTTTATAACTTATATTTACCCCATCCAAAGCAGTAATAAAAAGTGATCCTATTATTATCGGAAAAAAGCTTTGAATACATTAAATTGTGTAAATACACCCCTTCCATTAAAATTAACATATAATTAGCTAAAATAGAGTAATTCCAAATGCTGATGAATAACTTACAAACCCAATTCTATAACAAAAAATACTTCAAAAATTAATTAATAACAAATACAAATTCATACAAATTGATCGCGTATAAAGTACCCCTTCCCAGGGATATAAATAATATCGGAATAAAATGCGACGTTTTCAAAAAATAAAAATCCTTTTAACAAAAACATGGTTGTTCTTAAAATAAACGAGGCGAAAAGGTGCATGTGAAGGCGATTTCTAGCGCAATATAATCTCCTAAAAAATTCAAACATCATCAATTAATCATCAACTTCATCACAACAATGAATCTCACCTCATAGTGAGAAAGATTAACATTGAAACGACCAAAACAATTAAAGAGCACCAATAACCAATATGAGAAATATTTTTCATAATCGACCACCATTTATAATCGGGAGATTCATTTTCGTTCTTTGAAAACTCAACGGCATAACTCGAAGCGTCGTAATAGACCCAACATTGAGTGTAATTCGTTCCTTTCCAATATCCAGATGAGGTACAGAATTTAGTTGCGTTTTTCTTAAATCAAAGTCAGATTTTAAATTTTTTTTGGATAGGTGTTAAATTGGTTGCCTTCATTTCGTTTTGAGAAATTCAAAATTATCTTACCTTGCTTTTTGCTGATGGGCATTCCTGTGAAGCTAATTGGCCTTCTTTCGTAGCTGGCCAACACAAGAACCCATCAAAAACTGGGTCGCAAAAAGCTCCACCCGTTAAAAACTCTGAAATATTTTGTGATAAACAAGCAGCTTCAAAATCAATCATTTTTGGAGTGTTTCTTGCGACGATCAAAGTTGAACTCGAAAGGAATAAGCAAAATCACTTTAATAAAAGCTCGTGGATGTAATTCGATATGGGGACAATCATTTTATGGGTTTATAACAAGATTGGATTAAACGCTTCATGAATTTCCACCAATATTTGCCCACTTAATACAAAAGGAAGCTATATGATATAATAAAATTGATTGAAATGATGAAATCGAAACTAAATAAATAAATTGTTTATAAAATAACACAATAATTAATTAAATAACATAAATGTGTACTTGGTTGCCTAAGTATAGTGATAATGAAAGTTTTGAGGTTATGTTTTTGATAGCTGATTTATTTTAAAGCTTGTTTAAACTTAAAACGTTTTTGATAATCGAAGAAATGCCTAAAATTAATATCGAAACAGTGGTTTCATTTAGCACAGAAGATCCCGTAAGATTATTAATAATTTAATTATTTTTTCCCGCTTTAATAATTTAATTTTTTTATTAGGTATTTCCCGCATCTAATATATTAAATCCTGATCCAACAAAGAAATGGAAAACTCATTCGCAAGGTGAAAAATCAGCAAATATAGTCCTCCAACTAGAAAAAGCCACACAAATCACATCCATCGATATTGGAAATGAGCATTCCGCTTACATAGAAGTTTTGGTATCCCGCTCAAGTTCAAACGATGATTACAAAGTCCTTTTGGTTATGTCTTCTTTTATGACACCCATCGAAGCTCGTCAGAGTTCCAATACAACAAAAGTACGAATGTTCACTTACGATCAATTGTCCTCACCGGAGCGAGATGAAAAATGGGACCGAATTAAAATTGTTTGTACACAACCTTTTAACCGTCACGTTCAATATGGTTTAGCATTCATAAGTTTAACTTCAAACGAAGGTAAATTAGACGCGGTTACACCACATATCGGAAAGTTTTTGGTTCGAAGCGAATCCCCAACAAATTTAGGAGCGGGGAGTTTATTTGCACGAAGAAATGAGTTTGAGGAAAAGAAAACTTTAACGGCGGCTATACGAGAGGCATCTGTACAAGCACAAAAAAGCCCTCAAATGAGGAATCGTGATGAATTGTTGTATGAAGAGGATGAAATTAAAAAGAATTCAAAAATTGATGCTTTAATTGCTAAACGAGATCAAGAGAAAAAGGAGAAGGAGGCAAGAGAATTTATTGAGAAATTAGAGAAAGAGTCGAAAATGAAAAAAATTAAAGAGGAGGAAGAAAAGAAAAAGAAAATTGCTTCTCCAAATACTTCAAAAAATAGCATGAAGTTCAAACCCACAAAAAGAAAAGCGAAAAAACGATCTTTACCATATCAAGAACTTTTAAAAGGAGTCGTTTTTACTATTAGTGGTATTCAAAACCCAGAAAGAGGGAATTTACGTAGTATGGCTTTATCAATAGGGGCTAAATATCGTCCCGATTGGGATAATAATTGTACTCACTTAATGTAAGAATTTTTTAGCTGATTAATTAATGAAATAATATTTGTTTTTATTTAGTTGTGCTTTTGCAAATACCCCAAAATTTAATCAAGTCCGAGGAAAAGGAAAAATAGTTACAAAGGATTGGATCCCGGATTGTTACGCACAAAGAAAACGTCTTCCTTGGAGACGATACGCTTTAGATCGAAACGATCAAAATAAACCAGAAAGTGAGGAAGAAATCGGTGAAGAAATTGATGGTGAATCATCGGATGAAACAAATTTTAAGTAAATACAAAAATTAAGGGAGAATTCTTATATAATTTATTTCTATTTTAGTGGATCTGACACAGAATTAGAAAATTCACAAAAAAAGTTTAAAAGAAACCGGGTTATCGTAGATTCACCAAGTGGAACTCCATCCCCAGTCTTTGAAATCGATGAGAACGAATTAATTCCTAGCAATGTTAATGATAACCTTGAAAATGAAGGTGAAAAAGCGTTGATTATTAAAGAGGCTTTGAGTGTATATGATTGTGATACTGATGTTGATGAAGATTTTTGTTTAAAGACGACAAAAGATTAAAATAAATGATTTCTTGAACTATAACCAGACTTAAATTGTAGTGTCAAAAAAAATTTTGGGTTATATTTTTGACAACTGATTTATTTTAACGCCTAAATTAATATGGAAAAAGTGGTTTCATCATCATATGAAGTCCTAAAATGAGGAATTGTCTTCTACAAGACAAACTCTACTATAAATTTGTAAACTTTCATTACTGGTGTTTCATAACCCCGGAATTTCTAGTTTTAGTTCAGACCTTTGATTATATACAGGTGTATCTGAATGACGTGCCCAAACTTCAGGGGGTGATTCTTTAGGCAATTTTAAGGGTACTTTCTCATATAAACTATCAGCGATTTCGACTCCCCTGCGGAGCTACGCTCCTTCAAAAATGGCGAAAAATTTTGGTTTATTTTATTTTTCCCGAAAACCATTAACACCAAGAAAATGAAATTTGGGAAATATGTTTAGCTTATAATAGGGCATGTTTCGAGCCTATTTGTACTTTCAATCTTCCCTTCTAAGTTACTAAACATAACCACCCCCGTTCATTTTTTGTCTAGATATTTTTTATGACGATGATAAATACATTGGAAATATTTTATTTAGATAGACGAAAATATTCTAAAACTTTTTTGCCTCTCTGATGTTCTTCGAAAAGTTAATAGTTTCTGAGAAAAAAATTAATTAAGCAAACACTAACTGTTAAGCTGTAGCGTTGTTAATCGAAAGTTGGAATGAATTTTTAAAGAAAAAATCTTAGCAGGCTTAGCAATCTTTGTCAGAAATATTTTTGACGTTTAAATGTCAGTGGTTTTCTTACTATTATTATTGTTTTATTTAAAATTTTGAAACGTCGAGTGAACGAGCGTAAATGCGGTAGAACTTTATTCATAAATTAATTTGAAAAACAATAATAATAGTAAGAAAACCACTGACATTTAAACGTCAAAAATATTTCTGACAAAGATTGCAAAGCCTACTAAGATTTTTTCATTAAAAATTCATTCCAACTTTTGATCGACAACCCCGTTGTTGAACGGGCAGTGTTTACTTTATTATTTTTTTTCTCAAAAATTAGTCGTTTTTGGAAAAATTTTAGAGAGACAAAAAAAAGTTTTAGAATACTTTCATCTACCTATGTAATTTTTTTTTAATGTATTTACTCTCTGCATAAAAAAATTTTAGTAAAAATGTAAAGGGGTGGTTACGTTTAGTAGTTTAGAAGGATACGTTGAAAGTACAAATAGGGTGAAAACGTGCCTTACTACCAGTTAAACATATTCCCCAAATTTCATTTTCCTAGCGTTTATGGTTTTTGAGAAAAAAAAATTAAACCAAAATTTTCCGCCATTTTTGGAGGGGTGTAGCTCCTTAGGGGAGCC